TTTGAGTCCGTTTTATAAATCTCTGTAAAGTTCCCCGTGACACTGGATATATTCCTAGTGCAGGATGGGTCTTTTAAAAAACCATACGTACAGCAAAGATAGGGACATAATGTTTTTATGTGTACAATTCCATGAAAATATTTAAATCTTGTTATTCTTCTTATTAAACAGTTAAAAAAGAAAAAAAAATGGTTTTAAAAAAGTGAAAAACACGCTTTTTATAGAAAACCAAACTAAAAAATAGAAAATATTTTAGTTCGGTTTTCTATAAAAGTTCTTTAGTTTTTTAAACAATTTTTTTTTTCCTTATTAATTATTATATTGTCATTCAGTCAAAATCACGCCCAAAGGAGTCGGTTACAAACCAACATACAAACATACAAGTGAAGCTAATATAAAGCGTGTAAAAAGCAGTTGGTAAAAGGTTAACTTTAAAAGTTTATATAGCTGGTAAACACAAGGAGGAAACATCTCCATGCAAGTCGGACTCACACTTATCAAGTTTTGGCGTTAGTTGATCTCCCTAATAGTATATAATTATCATAGTAAACAAACACCAAGTCATGCAACTGTGTGATCTTTAGTCAGAACTCATCGATAATAATATGACCTCTGCGTTAATTAATTCAACATCCTACAAGACAACACATTTACCTATAGATACATACATTTTAGGGTCAAGTTACCTGTGAAGGTTTCGTTTCTGGTACATCGTTATTTAAGCAAGTTGAAGGTAACTTCGTGACAGCTATTCGTGGGAATAATACTGTTTATTTATTTATTGTAAAGCTTAGACTTAACACTTGAGATAATGAATAACATTGAAGAGGTGCGTCGTCATTACAAGTACCAACTTTTTTTTGTAATGTGTTATTTATTAATGCTCCAAGTATAAGTAGTTTGGTACGTGTTCACTCAATGTCATATTATTCTAAATACATTCACTGTCATGGCGATTGTAGCCAAATGGGTTTTAAAAATAATGTAATTTTTCATTATTAGCATACATTTAAAAATTCAATGCGTATTTCGGTATACGAGTTAAGACAGACCTGGGTAAACAATGCAAAATGTAAAAATATCTGCTGGAGATAAGTACCTAGATATGTATATACAATACATATGTATATAAATAAATCTTTCCCTCGATTCTTATATTTGTTATCGCCGATAAATATGAGATATCGCCACAGCTCCTTGAGCTATCTTTAGTGGTGCCATCTACTAGACATTCAATTTAACGATAACTTTTTCTACTTCTCCCTAGATGGCTCACTTGGTCGGTCTAAGCCAGATAGGCTTACTCAGTGTTGCCTTTTCAACGATAGATGGCGCTAAAGTATCACAATTTAGTAATCGTTGAAATGAAATGATGAAATTATATTTATTTCTGCAAGTAAATCTTTCCAGATATTTTACAAGTCGTTAATAGAATGAGATGTCGTCATAACAAATTATTATAAGGAAACTCTACATCATTATGTTCATAATAATATTATAAGTAAAGAGAGCACAGAATATCCATTTCCTGTCGTTTACAGATTTTCTCATTTATGTTCATTGGCAAGCTTTATGAAGAAAAAGAGATTTTAATCAATCCCCTCGGATACCCCCCACCGGTTTTTGGTTATGTTATGTCGGACTCAAACCAACCAAAAACCGCACGCCGTCTCGGGTATCAGTAGCCGGGGAACTAGGTGTACCCTAGAAAAATCCCTGGTGGCCTATGCAACCCCAAGGCAAATGTTACAGATAGTTATCAAATATAATCACGATAAAAAAAAACAACTTCCGCACTAGGAATATATCCTGTGTCGCGGGGGACTTTACAAACATACATGAAACGGACACAAAGAACACACAGACTCAGAACAACAATCACACACATCTCACAACACTCACAGCGTATTAGTAAGGGGCGTGGCGACCGCTTAAACCACTGCGCCATCCGTGCAGTCAAATGTTTTAAAACATTTGTACACGCAGTGTTGCTACTGTTGCGTTTTATAACTTCACGGTTTTAAATTACCGTTTGCCAGTGACTTTGCTCATATAAACAAATTTAAGAACAACCTTTTTTCTGGACCTCAATTCTGCTATTTTATGTTCACGCCAAGCCAGTGTCATACCACTGACACGCTATTGAGATGCCATCAAGTGGCCATTGGCATCGGTATAAATATGAGTAGTCTACACTAACTCAGTGTCTTTACAGTGGCGATGGAATGGCAGTGGCTCATCAGTGGTGATATCAAAAAGATTGCCATTTTTGGAAAAATAAATAATTTTTGAAAGGGAATAATCTATTTTTTATTACTGATATTTATACCGATGCCAATTGCCACTCGATGGCATATCAATAGCGTGTCAGTGGTATGACAGTGGCTTGGCGTAAACATAAAATAACAGAATTGAGGCCCTGAATGCATGTTTTATAAAATAGCATGGTGATCAATCATAATTTTACCGAAGATTGGTGGAGAATGCATAAGTCAGTTAGTCTAAAAGAAACAACAAAATAAAAATATTGATCTCATTTATTGCCTTTTTTACATTTTTAACAGTACATTAATTCGTACCATAAAACCCAAATGAACGTATAATGAAAAATCGAAAAAAATGTTTTTATTAAATCGGTTCTCTTCATTTATTTATTTCCTTTTTTGGTCCTTTATTGAATAACCATAGATATTTAACATTACAGAGTACAATCTTTTTTCTTGTTTTGATATTCAAACTCCCTAATAGCATAGCATAAACTAAAAATTACGATTTAACCATTTTGTGGCTCTTATGTAAAATACACAAAACACATTCATTTGGCTGTTATGGGTCGAATTTCTAAGAATTTTATTTAAACTTGCCTCAAGAATCGCACAACCCATGTTTTAATCATTACTGGTTGAACAAACTACTATCTCCAAACATCAATCAAACAAAAATTAAATAGAAAATTAATACTTAAACCATTGCGAAACAGTGAACCGTCATTAAAGTACTTTTAATAAAAAAATTATCAATATTATCCTGCGTTAAATTACATGTACAATCTAAAACTAACCTTTCTTATTCTTGAATTTTACTAGTAAATCTAAAATTTAATAATATTAATTAATTAACTCCGAATAATTGTACTAGAAATTGTCTTCCGAGACTTAATTCATCCGAGGCACGCAATACAATACTTATCTTTCAAATATTTTTCTTTCCAAGGTAGTGTCCAGGTGTAGTATTGATTTCATACAACGGTTTCCAATGACAGGGCTTTGGTGATTAAAGCAACCACCACATGGGACTTATTTATTGCAGGAAGATGCAGTTTCCCGCGCCAAGGCGATAAACGTGTAACCCCTGTTACACACTAAATAATTTGTCAGTACAATTTTAAATATCGAACGAAATTAAGGTCTTTTCATTTGAATAATAACGGTAAGTAGGTGCTGTCAATTAAATATTATGTGCAAATAGCCTAGTGTTTGGCACATACTTTACACATACAAACGGACTTCATGTTACGGTTATTTTATTTTTAACTAGCTGAGACCCGCGGTGTTACCCGCGTTTGTTGTTAAAACCGCGGGCAACGCCGCGGGGCGAAGCTAGTCTAAAAAAAGTAGCCTAAGTTACTCCTTATGCCATCAGCTATCTGCCAGTGAAAGTCCCGTCGAAATCGGTCCAGGAGTTCCAGAGATTACCCGGAACAAACAGACAGACAGACAGACAAAAATTGTAAAAAATGTTATTTTGGCATATGTACCGTGTAAACATACATATGCATTTAGTAAAAAGCGGTTATTTTAATATTACAAACAGACACTCCAATTTTATTTATTTGTATAGATAATTAAATTTTCTGTCAAACCACGTTTTTGTAAAGTTCTAAGTCTTAATTTAATTTACATTAACAACACGAATTAAGGATACTCTACGAATAAAAGTGCAAATTCAATTTTAAGTACCTCTTAAAAATTAATTACTCAAATCCAATTTGTACGATCTGACAACCTAGCAATCACAAAACGATTACTCAAAAATTGATCTTATATCGTTTGACTTAATTTAGAATTAATTTATTTGCATCCACTCTACTAGTATCGATCTTTTATATGGATTAGAGGGCAAAAGAGCAGCCGGGGCCTCAATTCTGCTATTTTATGTTTACGCCAAGCCACTATTGAGATGCCATCGAGTGGCCATTGGCATCGGTATAAATATCGGTACTCTAGTACTCAGTGTCTTTACAGTGGCGATGGAATGGCAGTGACTCATCAGTGGTATGACAGTGGCAGTGAACATAACATAGCAGAATTGAGGCCCGGGTCTCTTGTTGGTAAGTGACCATCGACACTCAGAGACACCTGCGAATTGAGAGAAACAAGCAGATATATAAATTATTGGTACAACCATAATCATATAATGAAATAATTATATTTAGTCAATGTAATTACACCTGTAATTGTGATTTCGTCATAGACAGAAAAATGCCATCAAATTGAATAAAAATTCTTTGTATCTTTTCTTTTAGATTTAGACCTTTCGCGAGTCCTGGCGCTAGCGTAATAATAATAATAAGTCACAGTGGTTTTGTAATTTACTCGCAGCTGTGATTATATGATTCATGTATATTATTTATCAAAGGTGATTGTGATTTCATCCATTTATTAATATTTATTAATTGTATTCCATCCCTAGACCCAAGTACTTTGCCACTCGTTACCCCCCCCCCCCCCGAGCTAAGGGGGTGAGGGGTGTGAATCTGGTAACTTCACTCACTGGGTGAAACTGGGTTTTCTGTGTGGCCGTGGTATCAGTACGGTTGAGCTGGCCCATGTGTACCACAGAATGACTCTTCCACGGCTCTCATTGTATAAGGCAAGTTATAATTTTATCTGTACGTTTAGATTCTTTTTTTTTATATATTCCCTTCAAAGTGCAAAAGATTGGTATTGATCGACCTATGGCATAATTGAACCTAAATAAATGATATGATCTGCAAGACGTTATTTGACAGTGACAGATATGATTCGAACGTCTTCGTAGGGCTTGTCAGTTTTGGGGTTGGTCTTGACGCTGCCGATGTTCTGCACCACCTCCATGCCACGCACCACGCGCCCGAACACCGTGTGCTTGTTGTCCAGCCACGGCTACAGAACATACAACATTATTATTAATATTGACGTTTAGTTAAGAGCTTGAGTTTTGCATAATCTGGCAATTTTAAAACACGGTTCTGTGAAATGAAAAAACCTTATATAAATACTAGCTGACCCGGCAAACGTTGTATTGCCAAACAAAAAAAAATAGGGATGGGTCACCCTTACCATTTAGGGGTATGAAAAATAGATGTTGGCCGATTCTCAGACCTACCCGATGTGCACACAAAATTTCATGAGAATCGGTCAAGCCGTTTCGGAGGAGTACGGGAACGAACATTGTGACACGAGAATTTTATATGTAAGATGTGTATCTTGGCTTGAAGTCTTTGACAATAGCCAATTCGGGTCACAGATATGCGACCCTGACCTGCTTACATTCCCAGTTCATTTCTTCTTCAGCCTATTGCCGTCCACTGCTGAACGAAGGCCTCCCCCAAAGAGCGCCAACCATCCCGGTCTTGAGCAGTCCGCATCCATCCACTGCCAGCCATTTGTACAAGCAATATTCTTTCCTACCATTGCCTTTCCCTTTCTCTTTTGTCCGATTGATGGCAAGAGTGGGACTAAAGTTATGGTTGGCCAAATGATGACGTTTAAGACGTCTCTGTTTAGTGAATGAGTGTTTGCATAAATTTGTCTTACAAAATAATGATTTTAAATTATATTGTAGTGTTGAAGTGAAGTCTGGTATCCAGTAAGACCTAATTTGTGTTATGGGATGGGTGCCAACTTCATATTCGCCAAGAACGATTTTAGTTACTTTCAGATAAGGAGTATAAAAGGATATTTTAAAAGTTTTCTTGATGGTTACTTTTAATATTTATAGCTAAAAAGTATTAAAGATATTGCCGCTATTGTACATAATGGCAATCTCATTAATACTTTTTTATCTTTTATTATTTAATATATTAAATACCAACCCGTCCGTCCGTTAAAGTCCGTGTAGTGACGGATTAAGAATACGGAATGTCACTACCCCAATTCATCCCGTGGGTGTCGTAAGAGGCGACTAAGGGCGCAAAACAACGCGGGACACTAGCACTGCAAAAAGAAGGAAAACTTGACACAAACCCTATACCAACCCGTCTGGCCAGCGTGGTTTAGTAGGCCAAAACCTCCTTTCTAAGAGGCCTATGTCCAGCAGTGGACTATTAAAGGTTGTTGATGATGATGATGATGATGATGAAATACCAACCTTCTCAAAAACAATCTAACGTAAAAATATTTTTACAAATCGGTAGATTACATTTCTATTCCGATGTACAAATACTTCAAATTTTACACAGTAGATATATTTTAAGGATCTAAATGCATATTATTGAAGGAGTCTATCGTCTCTCAGGGACAACACTAGAGAGAAGTTCCACAGTACGTACCGTGGGCGCGAGCGTGATGAAGAACTGGCTGCCGTTGGAGTTGGGCCCCGCGTTGGCCATGCTCACAGTGTAGGGCCGGTCGTGCTTCAGCTGCGGCCGGAACTCGTCCGCGAACTCCCCGCCCCATATACTCTCACCGCCGGTGCCCGTTCCTGAACAAATGTCCGAGACAAACATGCATTTTAATTATATAAAGTATCTACAGCATAAAAATCTTATAATTGCGGTCATCACCTCTATTCCTCCCGTGGGTGTCGTAAGACCAGACTAATGGAGCAAACTACGCAGGACTGCAAAGAAAAGGAAACTGAAACAAACCCTACACCAACCCGTCTGGCCAGCGTGGTATAGTAGGCCAAAACCTCCTTTCTAAGGAGAGGCCTATGTCTAGCCGTGGACTACTAAAGGCTGTTGATGAATAATCTTATAATTTACCTTAACACTGACATACACATACCCTCGCGTACGACCGATATTGTTATAATAATATATAATATTTTTTAATTCGTAATGTAATTGTAGTACCATTATTAAATTACAATTAATTTAAAAATATATATATTTCAGAAACCTGTGATGTGAAGGTACAGTCGCCAAATTACCTTACGTAATAAAATTGATTTTTTTGACAACATTCACACAACGCCATCTAGTCCCAAACTAGGCAGAGTTTGTACTATGAGTACTAGACAACGGATATTAATATATACAAATACATTTTTTGTAAATACATACTTAATATGTATATACATACTTGGTATTGGTAATACCAATATACATACTTAATATGTATATACATAGAAACACCCAGACCAAAATCAAACATTAAATGTTCATGCACACAAATGTTTGACTTGATTGTATAATAACTTTTGCCTGTGACCATATCCTATCATCACTCAATTCAAATATGGATCTTGGACATCATCCCATCAAGCAATCCAGATATATCTTGGGGACAGTCGTTTATTTAGATGGTACCCTAGATTCCTTCTGTACGATTAAAAGCATTTGTATAAATGTTAATGATTATTCTTCCATTCTACTCTATCATTCGTCATTTCACAATTTCCTCCCTTCCTAGCCATATCTTCACTCACACAGTCCATCCACCTTTCTTTTAGTCTTCCACTTCCCTTGTACCCTTCAACTCAACAGTCCATCCATCTTTTTTTAGGTCTTCCTCTCCTCTTGTAAACAAACCTACCAAAAACTTTCCTCGCCACATTTTCCTCATCCTTTCCAATAATTGTTAGGATTAATTGAAGACAAAATTGGAGTCAAACAAAAGGTTAGTCGTACCGGTGGGGTCCCCGGTCTGCACCATGAAGCCCTTGATGACGCGGTGGAAGATGTGCCCGTTGTAGTACCCGTTGCGCGCGTGCACGCAGAAGTTCTCAGCGGTGCGCGGCACGTCCTTGCCGAACAGGCGCACGTGCACGTCGCCCAGTGACGTGTGCAGCACCGCCTGCTCGTACAGCCGCTGCACGCCTGACCGACACACAAACCTTTATATATTTCTTTATTATTTCAGTAAATCGATAAGCCGAAGAAAATCTCAAACTAAGTCAATCCAATCAAAGGATATATACTACTCGTAATTCAATGGCGATATAACTATCATTAGATAATAAATTGAATAAAAAAAAATTAACAACATTTTTCAAAAAAAAAATGTTATCAAAAAGTAGGACATTTTTTTTGGTATTAACAGGTTATTATTTTTACATTTATTTTAATTGTATTACATTATACAACCACAATTTAAAAATTAAAACACCAACTAATGTACGTTTATATATTCAGACTAGCTGACCCGCGCAACTTCGTTTGCGTCTCTCAATAGTAATAAATTTTCTCCGTTTTTGAAACATTCTTCATTGGTGCTTCGCTCCTATTGGTCTTAGCGTGATGATATATAGCCTATAGCCTTCCTCGATAAATAGGCTATCTAACACTGAAAGAATTTTTCAAATCGGACCAGTAGTTCCTGAGATTAGCGCGTTCAAACAAACAAACAAACAAACAAACTCTTCAGCTTTATAATATTAGTATAGATAAATAAAGTAATGATTCAGCAATCATTGACAGGATATCTGCAAAACTGAACTTTAATTCGAATCAAGAAAGTATACCGTATAAATAAACAAACAGACACATAACATTACACCAACAACATCTTTGAGAGGTGAGCAGGACAGGATATGTGACACAATAGATAAATGATATATCTGCTATTGTGATGATTGTCCTCTCTCTGCTCTCAGTGCAGTGTGCTTATTGTATACATTGTTTTTTTTAAGAAGTTTTATATTTTTACTAAAATACCCCCAAAATAAATTTTCAATTAATAAAAAGCTGATGTTAACTGGTAGAATCTAGAATGCTATGGACAGATACACAGATATACAGCTACGAGATACACAGGTCACACTTATATCTACCCTCCTTTTTGTGGTGGTAAAATAAATACAAAAGATAATAATACCTTGTCCCTCCGTAGCGGAAATAATATCCTCTTTGCTCGGTTTCTCATTGAAAATGTCCCTGTCAGCGTCCGGACTCTTGATGTCATCGGGGCTTCGTCTGGAGAACATGTAGAACCGATTCTTTTTATACGCAGTGCAGAACAGTGTTGGGTCTGTCTTGACGTTCAGCAGCGTGGGGTTCTCGGAGCCTTCCATTTCGAGGGTAGTAGCCACCTTCGATTGATTTGTTCTACCCTGAAAAATTTATACATTACACACACTGGTACGTGGGGCATACTGAAAGTCTCTGGATCTGGCCACTTACAATAAAAGAATGAAAAAATTATTACAGAATTCGAAAATGGAACTCTTTGGGAACATGTTATTTTTTACTTGCGAGAGTGTCATTTGTTTTTCATTCTGACGTCCTTTCGAAAATCAATGAAATGAATGAATGAAAATGAATTTAACTCGTGAATTTGGTTCAGTGATTTTTTATGATTTTCGTTGTAGCTTAACAGGAGAGTTGCCAGAGATTTCAATAGGCATTTAGTGATGAAGCACCATGTAGCAGCTCTGTGTATTCTTGATTTTGAGAATTTAGACGTAGACGTGATCATCTCCGTGACGAGGTACGTGAAGGTCGGCCAGCGACTGCGGTTACAGACTCTAATATTGACACCGTACGAGAACTTATTGAAACTGAGAAAAAAATTACTTGACAGAAAAAGGTTCTGAAGGTTCGGAAGCTTTGCACTCAATGGATAACGCATGACTTAAATTTTACAGTAATTTAAGACTGCTCCATCTGCTTTGTAAAGTGGTTTCAGCGAATGCAAAAATGTATTAATTACGAGGAAATATGCTTTAGAAAACAATAAACGTATCGTAAGTCTATCTAGTCTTATTTATCAGAATCCAGAAACTTCCAGTATGCCCTAAATACACTTAACGATAATCTCACCAGTCCTAAATTTGAAAACAATTTAGTAACTTTAGTTATTAGTGCAGGCGCAGGTAAATGAGGATGCAAACTATGAGGTCCGAATTCTACCAATGGCTCGGAAAAGGTCAAAGATTAATAATGTGGATATGTTGGTCAATTTTTTGCTTATTTACCCCTTCTAATCTTAGATAGACCGATAACCATGAGATCCAGAAACCAGATCATACTTCTCCAAAGATACAAATTACAGAATTGGCTCTGGTTTCTAAAATATCCTAACCTAAAAGTGCAAAAATGGCTTTTTCTCGCAAAAACTGTTAAAAGCATCTCAAAGTATAGGCCTTAACCTTTTAAATCGCATTGAGTTTGCTCATATTGAAGTTTCTTTCTTTAAAAACCCAACAAACCATATGCTCATATAGTATAAGAGAGAGAATCCAAATTCACAAATCCCAAACGCATGAAACCTAAACCCAACAACCTCAAAATTGACAACCCAAACCCTATTATCCTTACATTTTGCATACTCACTTCCCTCGAGCGCCCGGTCTAAGTATCTGTTTTTGAAACTACCGTCTAAAAATATAAATCATTCTTTATTTCCATAAATTATGATGACAGGTGTCAAATGAGTAAAACAAAAAAAAAAATTGCTAAAAACCGCAATGTCCCGGTTAAATAAGATCTAGGCAGGTAGAGCGATCTTAATAAAGACCAAGATTGCTCTTGTGAGGACAAATATTCCTTTATGACGCAGACATTTGACGACCAAAAGGTATGTTAGGATGCCTAAGCGCTGGACAGACCAGATCCGCGTCACGGACGGCAAAGGGTTCTTGCTAAAATATACGTTCTATTGAGGACAGCAACAGATGGAAAACGATCGCCTGAGAAATGACTAGTAGAGGTCTCTCACGGTCCTCATCAGTGAGGAGAATGACAGGAGAAGGAGGTTTTAAAAGGACTGAAGAGTCAATTGATACCCTTACTTTAAATATCAATTTACCTGAAACAGTGCAAGGTGCAATGGGCGCAAGTTCTCCGGTTTCCCGATCATAGCCACGCACCGGTTGGTGACCAGGTTGACGATCTTGACGCCCAGCATTGTCGCGTACACGATGAAGTGTCCACTAGCGTCAAATAACACATTGGCTAGCTGTACAGCTTCTGACTTCTCTAAGTCACGTTCGGATGCCATTCTGAAAAAAATAAATGGGCTTTGAGATTTGACATATTTTTAACCGACTTCAAAAAAAGGAGGAGGTTCTCATTTCGACTGTATTTTTTTTTTATGTTTGTTACCTCAGAACTTTTGACTAGGTGAACCGATTTTGATGATTATTTTTTTATGTAAAATTATTTCATTTTTGAAAGTACTTTTGTGAGCCTGGATTTTTGTACTACATTAATCTTTTAGTAATCTAAGTCTGAAATGAACTGTTACGTTTATTTTTATAGCAAACTAGTTGTACCGTCCACGCTTCGCTGTGGCATATTGTGGTTGCATTGATGAGAAATGTGGAGCAAAACTGACGCGAAAAATAGATAAAAACGTGGTGGAGCGGATGGTACATCGTGTCCAAATTTGTGATCAATCAGCGCAGTACTTTTTGAGTTTTTAAGAGTACACAAACCAACTTAACATCTTCAGGGATGTAAAGATGTTAAGTTGGTTTGTGTACTCTTGATTCGGCCGCCATCGAAACCGATGATTTTTTGAGGTTGGGAAAACGAAAAGGAGGAGAAAAAAAATATCTTTGGACGAAACCAGTTTCGAACCAGGATTATTTGTTCATTTTACGAGTTACGAAAAGGTAAATATGCAAGGGAGGAAATATTGCTCTTTGTTACTGGACCTAGGTGCACAAACACATGATTCATGAAATACTGACCAGTTATAATTATGTATTTCTAATAAAATAAATTAATAATAAAAATAATATACTACTAATACTATACTAATAAAAATAAAATCCTTGTACGTATCCGTGGTTTCGTACACAGATCATTTATTTCACCTCCTCAAATTTACATAGTATAAAATGAAGTCGCTTCCCGTTCTTGTACGCTTAGATCTTTCAAACTACGCAACGGATTTTAATGCGGACTCTCTTTAGTAGTGAAATCAGTACTAAAGATAGTGATTACAGAGACAGAGAACCTAATAATCCTATCAACCCTTTAGGCTATAACATCAAAAACTATATACACGAACGGGAATAACGCGCACACATACGTGCGTCAATCACACACACACACACGCATGCATACTCACACTAGCACACGCATTACACTCACTCTCACACACGCATGTTCTTTTTTAATTGTTGCATGTAATAGACATAGTGTCTGTCAATTGTAACCACGCTACATCTGATTGATTGATTAACTGAATGTATTCCAAATGTGAGAGACCTGATACCCATAACACAAGTTAAATCTTACTTTGGGTATCAGTGTCACAACATACTACTTACCGTGTAATATTGTGATCCTATTTAGTTTTAATTGTAAGTGGTTTATTGTACAACTTAATGCAAATAAATATATTATTATTATTATTATTCAAAAGGAAAGTTTATATGTATAATACATGCATATTATAGTAGAGAAAATCCAAGAATTTCAAAAGCATGTAATGTGATGTCATACATTGCAGTGTGCGAAGCCCAGGCGTGTCGCTAGTATTTACATATATATAAATTATAATCCTGAAGCTTCTAAGAGTAGAGTGAATACGGTTTTCTTGGATGGGCATACTATCTTTTGTTTTCATTCTCGCTTTCCATGAACCGAGTTAAACACATTTTACATTTGTCCAATAAAACATAATTAGAAAATATTATCGTAGTTAAAGAAAATGTTTAAAAAATTCAGGTCATGTTAATCCTAGTAATTATGATCTAGGTATACTTGACGGGCTTGTTAGTCTATTGGTTAGTGACCCTGACTGCTGAGCCGGAGGTCGTGAATTCGATTCCCATCCAGGACAAATAAATGTGTGATAAGAACAATTATTTGTTGTGTCTGGGTGTCATTTATCTCTAACTAGCGATCTGCCCCGGCTTCGTACGGGTGCAATGTAGATACTACTAATGTGGTATTAGTGTGGAGTAATTAATTATACTACTATTATGATAGGACTAGACCCTATTATGATAGGACTAGATCCTATTATGATGGGATAAACTAGAAAAACTGTATTGTTCGAAGTAGCTTCGTAAATTACCCATTATTTTTTGTAATATGTAAAAAATGAAAATGGTTACTGTGGGTTATTTTACGGAGATAAATTCCGTAGTACATTATTTTGATCTATCTCGCAAGGTTTAGTCAGCGTTTGCAATGTAAACGCACAAAAGTTTTTTCTACTTCCCATTAAAAATCTTAGAAATTCTCGGCTTTCCTCTACTATAATAAGCATGTATTCATCATCATCATCATCATCAACAGCCTTTAATAGTCCACTGCTGGACATAGGCCTCTCCTTGGAAAGGCCAAAACCTCCTTTCTAAGCATGTATTATACACTTGAATCACTCTCTCTATTGGTGGAAACCGCATTTATGTCGGGGCACCAGGGACTTATTTCGGAACACCAGGAACTTCCTTTCTAGGGTACACCTGGTTCCCCGGCTATTAGTACCCGAGACGGCGTGCGGTTTTAGTCGGTTCGAGTCTGACATGCCACCGATAGGTGGTATCCGAGGGGATTGCCGCACGGAAAAAAAAAAGAAAGAAAAATGGTGGAAACCGCATTAAAATCCGTTGCATACTTTAAAAGATCTAAGCGTACAAGAAAAAAAAACTACTTCATTTTATACTATGTAAGTGTATAAGATATTACAAATATCATTTTGCAATTTTTTGTACTACCTTCTGCCAAACTCCATGTTGGGTAACTGCTGCGTCTGGTGCTGCAACTCCTGGAACCGCTGCAGGCTCTCGTCCAGCACTTTGTGCAGTTTGCCTGACAGGAAATGGAACACACGCACCTATTACATCAACAGACAAACATTCGCCTATTATGACAAAGTGTTGGTTGATAGGCCCATGTGGAATTCCATTATTACTCCAAAAGCATTCCTGGATAAAGTTTTTTCATGCAGTTATTTCTTATAACTAAGCCTGTTTAATGTACACTAATAATGTGGTTATAATACTATCCATGGTGTGTTTATTTCAAGTATATGTTTACATGCAATCATTGAACGAGTGAGTCTATTTGATATTTACTACGAGGAAAGAATTTGTCTAAAAAAGGGTAAATTTATTTTTATTATAATAAATTATTAAAAGAAATAAACAAATTATTAAAATAAAAACATAAAAATAAAAAAATCATTTCCTCAAAAAACGTCATATATTTTCAACTACCGATATTTATACCGATGCCAATGGCCACTCGATGGCATCTCAATAGCGTGTCAGTGGTATGACAGTGGCTTGGCGTGAACATAAAATAGCAGAATTGAGGCCCAGGAGAGACCGTAGTAGTCGATGGCGTATTTTAGAAATGTTTCAATGAATTAGTTAAAAAAATCTAGGTTCCCTCTGTTAAAATAAATAATATTATATCATCGTATATATTATGAAGAGTGCTCCGAGGAATTGTTCGGACTAGTCGGTACTAGTCCGAACAATTCCTCGGAGCACTCTTCCGCCGCAACTTTCCGCCATCGTTCCACAGACTAAATTTTCATCCCCAATACTTGGATAATTGACACCTCACTACTGTGCGCTTTTCAAGACACTTTTTGCCTCGCACAACCAATCTGTAGAACAAGTTATCGTCTGCGGTATTTCCCGACGATACAACCTTCAAACCTTCAAGACAAGAGCGTACTCCTTCCTAAAAGGTTGGCAACGCGTTTGTGACTCCTGTGTTGCAGACTTTCATGGGCATCACTTTCCATCAGGTGACCCGTCTGCTCGTCTACCACCTCTTACATAAAAAAAATAAGCTACTACTGAATTTCAAAATAAAATCTCACCTTTCTATCCAAACTGATAGATGCCATTTTCTTTCCATCGGGGGAAAAAGCAAGCGCCGTTGGATAAGTCTTATTCTTCACGAAATCATACAAGTCTGTGTCCAACTTCGATTCAAATTCCACATTTTTTGGGAATGTGTATTCATACTTGGGGCCTGTCCAGTATTCGATGATCCCTGCTTTGTCTACAGACACGGCCGTTTCGTAGACAGGGTTGTATGTGATGGTGGTCACCGTGGTTTGGTGAAGGGTCTTGAATGTGTGCAATGGTGTACTTGTAGTTTGCGTACCGTCATATATGTAAATCTTGTTGCTTCCTTTCTCTGAGCTGGGGAAGAATATGTTAAGAGTTTTATTCTGGGTATAACATGTAGCAAATAAGGAAGCTTCTAGATATAAAAAAAAAATAACGCAATATAGACTGTCGTTTTTTATGACTACCCATTTTAAACAACTTCGTAAGTTTTTTTCTAAGGATTTTATTTCTAAACGTTGGGCGTTGTTACCGTAAAAGTCCGTGTAGTGACGGATTAAGAGTCCGTGTAGTGACGGATTAAGAATACGGAATGTCACTACCCCAATTCATCCCGTGGGTGTTGTAAGAGCCGACTAAGGGAGCAAAACAACGCAGGACACCAGCACTGCAAAAAGAAGGAAAACTTGACACAAACCCTATACCAACCCGTCTGGCCAGCGTGGTATAGTAGGCCGAAACCTCCTTTCTAAGGAGAGGTCTATGTCCAGCAGTGGACTATTAAAGGCTGTTGATGTGTGATGATGATGATGACCGTAAAAGTAACATAGCTAAGTAAAATGTTCTACAAAAATTATTTCCTACATTAGTACACATTATTCAAAGGCATAAATGAATTAATTTATATACTTACTTAATTATAAATGTAAAATTGAGTTTGTTTGTTTGTTACGCTTTCACACCTAAACCACTAAACCGATTTTAAAAATTCTTGAAAGCTACATTAACTCGATATAAGCAGGTTTAACTTACACAGCAAGTGCAGATATAGGGTCACCAGCCGAATGCACCCACTCGGTACAATATGGTTCAAACTCTATAGTTATTATGTTGATCATATCTGAAACATAAAGGTTGAGCATAATTGAATTTATTATCTTAAAAATCTATTAACTTTTTCAAATAATTAACCATTCATTTCTACCAAAAGGAATGGTTTTTAAGTAAGTATAAGTAAGTTCGAATTGGAGGTATGCGTATTGCTTGGACTCGGTGACGTATTACGAATACAGTGTGTCACCACCCTTATTCATCCAGTGGGTGTCGTAAGGTGCTAAACAAGGTGCAAACTACGCAGGACAACAACACAAACACGGTGCAAACAAAGCCTTACCGTCACCCCACCGGGGTTTGCGGCAGGGTGGTGTCGGACTCGGACCGACTAAAACCACACGATGTGCCAATCTGCGCCTGTAATAGGAGGGATCCGGGAACAGCTGTTATTAAGACATCCGGACCCCTCCTAGCGCCGGCCCGCTACTGTTGCGGGCTCCGTCTCAAAAAAAATTTTTTCTCTCTTTAGGCGACGTCCGGCACACGCGGACGCCGCCCCCTCGCGGCTGGCCAAACTAATGCGGGTGGAGGGGAAACCCACCCCGTCCACCCGCGGCCACACTCAGGGCGGCATGAGGCGGTGATAGGCGCGCCTCCGCCGCCCGGTTCGCCGGCGGCGGATCGGGTCCGAGTGGAGGTCGTCCTCCCGGGCCTTCTCCGCCGCCTCCTTCTGCGAGATTACTTCCTCGCAGAAGGTTGCGACCGCGGTAAAACAACTGTCGCTACCGGCCATGGAGCGTACTACGGCCGGTAGCGAGAGATCCACTCCGATGACTGCAGTGAGGGCCCGGCGCTGCGTCGCCCATGCGGGGCAGACCGCCAGCGTGTGCTGGGCCGAGTCCTCACTGCAGTCGCAGTGGTGGCAGGCGGGACTCAGTTCCCTCCTAGCGACCGAGTGCAGGTACCTTCCGAAGCAATCGTGCCCGGAAAGCACCTGCGTCAGCCGGAAGGTAAGGGTCCCGTGCTGCCGCCCTGCCCACTCGGCGATGACCGGCTGGAGAGCCTCCACGGCGGCGAAGCCAGCGCGTGGAGTCTCCAGCCGGAACAACCAACGAGCCATCGTGGCTCGGCGAGCGGCTTCGCGCCACTAGCGCACGTCTTCGGGCGGAGGGCGAAATCCGCTCTCCGCCCGGGAGTCAGCCACTCGCCGATAAACTTCGGCGAGCACTTCCGCCTCCAAATCCCACGGGGGAGTTCCGGCCAACGCGAACGCCACCTCCGTCAAAACGGTGCGGTAACCGCGTATGGCTCTGACCGCCATTACCCTCTGAGGGCGCCAGAGGCGTGCCCTATTCTGGGCGGTCAGAGCCGCCGCCCACACCGGTGCACGGTGCAAACAAAGCCTATACCAACCCGCCTGTCCAGCATCGTATAGTTGACTAAAACCTCCTTGGTAAGGATAGGCCTAAGACCAGCAGTGGACTATAGAAGGCTGTTGATGATGATAATGTGAGTTTCTAAACCTCTCCCTATGCCTTCGGATACTCAGAGGGTCAATTCTCGTAAAAAAGTTCAGTTCCGATCTACTTTCGATCTCATAATTTCATAAAAGATATTCTCGTAGTATTCGTCGTGAATTTTCAACGATTTTTTACTAAGAGAATAATAGTTGATCTTCAGGTGAGTGTACGAGTACGTAGTATCTATTACTATTATTATTATTTTCATTATTAGCCTTACCAAAATTAACAACATCAAAAACTTTGATAGTTTTCTCTGTTGATGCAGTGCACAGCAATGTGCCGGTGTTGTTGGCTGAAACGTGGCTGATCGGTGCCAGGTGACAGCGGAAGTGCTTCACAAACTCTATGCCTTCTTCCTGAAACAATTGGTTATGTCTACAATGAAAAAAATCCTATTAGTTATGTTTGGTTCGTAAATATACACTAAATATTTACTTTAATCAACTTGGACAAAACATTGTAACAGTAGCATGCCGTTGCAGTGGAAACGGAGACAACCTTTATGTATTAAGACCATTTAACCATTTGAAGCAAAAAATATATTTAAATCTATTTATTATTCATGTCCTATTTACGATTAGTAACACAGATCATTTTGAGAGGACGTTTTAATAAATGTAGTTTTTATTAAAACGCAATAAGGTATAATTTCGTTTTTAACGGCTATCAGTACATAATACATTGGACATGCATAGGTACTCTATTCTCCTTATCATTCATACTTGTAGGTATGTAACTGACGTAGCAAAGTACAAAAACTGAATGTCGTTTTACGCAAGCAGCTACATATGTAATCGCATTTCAATTCAAAAGCGACTTGGTACCAAAGGAAAACTTTTATAAATTCACAGTCAACTTTAAATGTTTTTAACTATACCGGTTCATAATAATATCCAGGACATTTTAGAATTGTTGAGTAAGGAATAGACCGCATATCCGATTTGCGGATATATAAATAGGAGCGGCTATATAGTCGTATGTCTGCCTGTAAGTGGAACCGTAACAGCTTTAGAGAGAGAAAAAAGATTGTGCGGGTCTTGCATCTCTCTTTCCTCTCTTCACTGGTTGGCCAGCTTTCCTACTCTAGTTATATATTAACTCTATGCTCCACCTTACCGCTGCAGATATTTAATTTTCCAGTTATGGCAATGTTGTTGATATCACCATTGTCACTACATCGACAATCTTTTGACTTTATGTTAGTAGAATACCGATATTTTGACTGGTGTCAACGGCATCTCAATGGCATCTCAATAGCGTGTCAATGGCATCTCAATGTCAAATAATTGACAGTGGCTTGTACATTCACAAAAAATAGCACCATTAAGGCCCTGATTCACTGACTGATCGATCAATGCACAGCTGAAACCGCTGGGTCTAGAAGCATGAAATTTTGCACTAACATTCTGCAGCTAGATAGCCTAGCTGTACCGTGGCACACTTCTCTATGGCACATTATCGTTGCATTGATGAAAAATAAAAAATAGATTAAAACAATCTTTGGAGTGGCTAACAATCTTGGGAACTTTTTGAGTGTTTGAAGCTTATAGGAACCAACTTAATATTTATATATATATGAATAACATGATAATTTGACACATCATACAGCTGTGTGTAACAGTCGTCTGATACCCAAGTTGTCACAGCCTATGATATGGTAACCAGATTAGTGATAAACATGCTTGTATACATATTTTTCAATATTTAAATATTATAAAAAATTACACCCAGATGCAAAACTAATGATTGTGCTCATCACACAAACCCAAGACCTCAGCTCATAAATGGATTACTAACCACTAAACTAATAAGCCAGTCAGATATAATCCATACTATAAATGCGAAATTGTGTCTGTCTGTCTGTTACCTCTTCACACTTAAACCACTGAACCGATTCAGATGAAATTTGGTGCAGCAATAGTTTGAGTCTTAGAAAAGGACATAGGATAGTTTTTATAGTAGAAACCACTCTTTAAAGAAGTGATAGGGGTGGAAGTTTGTATGGGAAATCAATAACCGCTAAACTGATTTTAATAAAATTTGTTATGGAGAGACTATGATTGTTAGAAAAAAACAGGCTACCCCAGGCAGAGATTTTAACCACAATAACATGACATGCACGCAGGTGAAGCCGTGGGCAAAATTATACATATACTTATACATGAACATTTGAGATCATATTACCTGTTTTTTCCAAAATTTCAAGTGACCATCTTGACTAGCAGTTACCACAAAATCTGTCTTAGTGACTATGATATGGGTAACTACATCTCTGTGCATATAGCTAAACTCGTACGTTTCTGATGATGGCAAGTTTTCTAAGTATAGAGATTCAAATTCCAATACTGTAACAATAAAGTTTTTATAAGATTATACACAAATATTATAGGCGTTAATGTAGTAACTTTTCCAAGGGTTATGTTGGACTCAAACTAACTAAAAACTGCACGCTGTATTGAATACTGGTAGCCGGGAAACCAGGTGTATCCATGGTAGGAAATCCCTGGTACCGCGAAGTACTCTTCCCATTGGTTGACCATGAAACTGTCCATCAGCCTACGAGGAATCACACATTATAACAAGAAAAAACACAAGTTCCTGTTTTTCCTTCCTATAAGTGTATCTTTTCTTCCTAAGTTGATGAAGTGAGTTATTTCTTAAAATCAAAACTGTAGTTGTGTACATACTACGAAATAACATTAACTGGAAGTACCATTTACTAACGATCACCTCAAGTACCAAGAGACAAAATAGATCTTATTTAAAACCAGAAAATTAATGTTCATGAAGTACTGTACATATTAATGCTGCAGTAAAACAAAAAAATCACCTCTTCTTTTTTTTGGTTTTGGTTTTAGCGCCTCAGTCGGCATAGGGCCTATCCATGCCTCACTGTCATCTGATTCATCTTTACTGTCAAGACTACTGCGCCGCTTCTCCCCAGACATTTTGATTAGAGTAGTAATGTATAACTGATTCGTTTTCACTTAAAAGTAGCAGAATATTCTTAATGTAAACATACAAAGTTTGTGTAGTTCGTCCTACACCAACACAAAGCGTCACAAACAAGAAATCCTGTCCAAAATCAATGTCATACTTGTCAAAGTAATTGGTCCTGACCAAAGAGTATACAAATCCAATCACTACGTTACCTGTCATTCATTCATTTTCATTCTCATTTGCCCTGCAAAAGCATTTTTAATATGGATACTAATATTATAAATTCGAAAGTGTGTCTGTCTATCTGTCTATCTATTACCTCTTCACGCTTTAACCGCTGAACCGATATAGATCAAATTTATTACAGAGATCGTCCAAGTCCTGGAAAAGGCTAGAGGGTAGTTTTTTTCATATCATATCATCAGTATTCATCCTTTTAAGGGGGTGGAAATTAGTATGATCAATCAATAACCGCTGAACGGTATGAAGATACTTTGATTCTTGAGGTGTAAAAAGTAGCCTATGTCTTTATAGGCTACTTTTACGCCGATAATGGACATTTACGTAACGGATCCGCGGGCAAAAGCTAGTTAATAATATTTTCGGACATATGACACACTACACCACCTAGTTTAAAACTATGCAGAACTTATAATATGAAAACCAGAGTCATATATAAATATTACATTTTATAGTAACATACACATTTTACATAGAAAACACTCAACACACAAACTCCGAAAAAGATATTTGCAAATCATAAAAACATTTGGTAAGGCCCCATGCCGCCCCATGAATGAGCCAGTCAAGTAAGTCAGGCATTGGCTCTCAAGTTTCGTAAATCTTAATTTCAAGGCTTTTTTTTTAATTTAATAATTTTATTAAGGAAGCCCAAAGGATAAATTGAGTAAGAATATAAATAGCAAAAAGATATATTCATTCTTTGTACACTCGTATTACTTCTGCTTGTATGTTAATGCGGATGATAAGGCCTTGAAATTTAGTAGAATAAAAAATACAGAATTATTTTGTTCAGTTAGCACGAAATTTTGTCGAAGCCAATGGAATTAAAGCTATACGAGCTACGTAACTAGTACTAGTACTTGGTAGTTAAGCTCGCGAAAAAGACGATAGAATGGGACCGGGAGGGGTTTAGAACTCGCTCGGCCTGCTAGCCACGAGAACATGACAGCTAACGCAGACAGGTCAGGTGCTGCAATTCGTTAAACGATCTCCATCCTCCATAAGCGCATGCAGGTAGCCTCACCTGTTACTGGGGTCACTGGGGTGACATGTGAGGCCAACCGTCACCCTAGCAGAAGCCGCGGGGTAAAAATTTAAACTTTTATTTTATGTACTCTGCTTCGTTCTATTAAATTAAACACACATCGAATATTAATATCGCATCCTGCATGAAATACGGATAAAACTTAACATGGTTTTTGTCCAGTCAGATTTTCCAGACTTATTTCTTAGCATACCAATGGATTTATTGTGCGGGTACCGCGTCCATAGCTTGGGAAATACGTGGGGCAACACATGCGATTTCGACGCGACTCAGGAGTAAGTTTAGGGAGTACTGCTTGTGATGCGTCAGGGCTCACCTACACTGTCTGCTGTTTTGCCCTCTCCATCTAGCCTAGCTCTGCTGTTTTGAATATTCGTTCAAAAAAAGAGCTTACTAAAGCTCTTGGCAATCCAATCAATCAGCAAAACTAACTGTTATTACTATTACAAGTCCATTAAAGGGTTTTTCCTATGTCTTACAGCACTAGCAGGTTCTGAGGTGTTTCCGAGATAAGTGAAAAATCCTGCCAAACAGATTAGAGGGACAGTTTTACGAATTGCATGGTTACGCTACGCCACAACAATTTCGTTCAAGATTAAACCTATTTCTTTTTTAATCTTGCTAGGCTAGTCCCAGACCCCAGAACTTAACATCTAGTTTTAGTAAGTCAAAAATTTATCAAACCGAACGGAACTCCAGCAGACGATTGTTAAATCAGGCGATTACTGCGAAGTGACTGACTGCCAGGTATACAGAAAACTCTTTTTACGTGACCAGTCTGCATTATTTTCTGTGCGTAGGTGCTATAAATGTTGTAGGTGTGATCGGCAGTGCGATCGGATCGGTGAAGGGACAAACCAAGTAGGTGGGATGAAGCCGAAAAGAAATCTAAATCTTCATTTTCCAAACACAATTTTGTTGGGTACCGATAAAACTATAAATATAAATTATCATGTTGCAATCAAAACAACAAACTGAACAATTTCATTCGTGTGTCCTAAGATATTCTACCAGTTATAATTTCATTGGGTAGGTATATCGTTTTAAGTTCATAATCAACAATTGTTGATGTGGTAAAAAGTAAGATTTGATTGGCCAATTTGAAATTATCATAGACAATTCTTATTTACTTTAACTTAAATTTAATCCTCATGTTAGTAATTACAAAAACCAATGATCATTTCTTAGTTTTATAAAAATGTTACTCATATTTATATGTTATTTTTTTTAACATCACTGTTGCTCATGTTAAGATATTTAATTTGCTGTATGTTTTTTTTTATAGTCGAGTCACGTTGAAGCGTTGTAAACTTTTTAGCTATCTTGTCTATGCTCAAAATGTCTTTTACGAATTCGTAGTGATGGTGGCTGGCTTCCTTGCGAACGAAGCATCGTAAATTACAACTTATTTGTAAATCTTGTTAAAAATTTGATCGTCTGACGATCGAATTAATAGTGAGTAAAGTGCTCAAGAAGTATCACAACTAATCGGTAAGTGTAAAGTGAAACATTGATTGTGAAAACGCGCGCTACCGGTACCCCTACACGTGGTTAGGCTGCTATACGGCATACGCACAATGCTGATGTGTTTTCTTTAAATAATCAACGTATATAGCAACGACGCAGATTCTCTAAGTGTATCCAAGTGAAATTCTGATAAATTTATGTCAACGCATCACATTTAGGTTGTTTATTGAACGTGGTTAGTTTGACAAGCCGTGACTCGTTGCTGACACATTTAGCCGCTATTGAGGTAAAATAGAATGATTAAATATGTTTTCCAGATTAATTTCTATACTGTTGAACCTTGCTCTAAATATTTTTTCGAAATGCGTTACTTTTTCACCATCGTGATAACTCACTTCGTTTTCTACCAGTGTCTTGAAGCTTTCTTTTTTTTTGTTAGTATTAAGACAATGACGCTTCGCTGCACTATGATCAGCATCTAGGAAAGTACTGATAAATTTCGTTTTTAGATTGCTATTCTAGTTTTAAAACATGTGTGTTGCCCATTACACACAAAGATTCCTCAGTTAGGTTGTAATGGCATATGTTGTCGTAACTTTTTAAAGCATATTTTTCACAGTGTTTATCCACGATATTCTATATTCTATGAGACATTACTTTTCTAAGATCGAATGATCGTATGCCAAGGAATTCATGCCAAGCCTATTAAGATTGTCTTAGTATGTTGATATTCATTAAATTGTCATTAGGAGAATTCTGTACGAAAGTGCATGCACACAGTGTATCTTCAATTATACACTTTCTAAGAAAACTTCATTGGTAAAAAAATTGTTCGGCACTTTTAAAATTATTAATCTTTATGATTACTGTATAAAGATAACCTACCTTTTTGTTTTTTGTACCAATTTATTGATAATCATCATAATGTTAAAATGTAGTTTCATTTTTGAAACTAACTTTAAAAGACTACATTATAAAAAAAAGAATGTGCCCATAAACAATGTTATACAAAAGAGGTCTGTTACATTTGTGTAGAGAGTACAGTTGTACTTTCAAGTTACTGCTCCAATGACCTGATACTTGGATTTAGAAAGTGCTCACAATTAATCCACCATAACCACCTAGATTACTCTCAAATTGTTTGAAAATGACATTTTTTTTAGTAAATGATTTCTAAATTGCCTTATTTGGTTTTTACTCCTACACTTTGGATTTTATTTTTCTAAACTTCCACTTCTTAAGTAGAGGTAAGTTTATTTAAAATACTTAGCTAATTAGCATACAATATCATATGTGAATATACGAAAGTATTACATTTCCTTTCGAATTAGAAACTTTAAATTTTACTTTTGTCATAAATTATGTATGCGTTGAAAGTTGGGTTATAATGCCATAGAATTTATTTTGTCAATATATTGACCTACTATTGCATGAAGTAAAGGGGAAGAATAGATGTGTTTGGTGAGAGAACTACATTATAACTAGTCTTATAAAAAGTATACTAAATACAGAAACAGCAGCTTCTAATTTATCAGGTATTCTTCATTTGAAGAATTGATGTAGTAACCATTGCAAAAAGCTTTGTCCAACATAAATACATATGGATGCTTGCTATGCTTAAAATGTGTGCTATAAAAAACAATCTGAATCAGTGATGAGTAAGGGTGGAATTGAGGGTAAAAAAAGAATGAATTGCAGTTAAAGAATTCTGTAATTGTACTTAATGCATCTTCTGTGACTAACTATAAACTGGTTGGTAAAAAAAAAACTAGGTTTATGAAAATTTAAAACAAATGTTATTTTTAATCTTCGAAACACAAAAAAGTATGTAAAAAGACAAATTTTGAAAATGCTGTTGTTAAACTTATAGTTTAGTATTTTTATGAGGTTTCTTAGCTATTATTTAACAAATTTCTTCAAATGTTCAACTTATTTCTAGTCATGGAGGCATTCTTGAGATGAGGGTACTTGGAAAATTTTATTTATACTTGTTACTTTTCTATATATTGAAATACATTTTGACGTTTTTTTGCATATATTGATCTATTTAGCATTCAACAATTGAAAAGAAGAAATAAATGAAATGATTCACAACTCATGGTGATTATTACGGGAGATGAATGTTTATACCTTCACTTTGTATTATAAGAAGATATATTTTTTATCTTGTACTGTTGTAACAGATTTTGAAAACTTAATTCTATCTATGAATTGGTTATTTTAAAGAAGAAAAATATTATTTGTTTAGAATAGTTAGTGTCAGATAATATTACCAAAGGTAAGAATGAATAAGGCAACATAGTATAGTATTTGATGTTAATTCAATTACCTAATGGACAAAGTAAACAGGTCTCAAGTCTCCAGAGAGCTATTTATGTTCAAAGAGTCTTATAGCATATTTACATTGTATGGCATGGCTCCACTAATTACCATAAATATTCTCTTAATGACATTTCTCATTGCAACTTTGTTCATTCTCATATTTTAGTATAATAGTTGTTAACTTTTATGGGTGTTGACCAGCTGTTGCCTGTGCCTTATTCATTTGCCTTAAACTTTTAGCATGCCTCATAAAAAGCAGTACTGTATTGGTTGGAAGTACCTTATTTGCTTTAATCCTTACAACATTTGAAATTTTTTTGATGTTTGGTCAAGTAGTTAAACTTATATATGCTTAAAATAATAGTTAGTATAGCCTGAACATACAGAATTCCTACAATATATTACAACAGGCTTAACCAAACTTTGATTACATAAGAACTTGTGTTCTTTATGTATTGAACTGTATAATGTCTAGTTTGTCTTTAATCAATAATTTAGAGGCCAATGAAAGGTGTCGCTATGGAAAGTCCATTGTGAAACTAGATTCATATGGTTTCAGTGAATTATTGCTTCACTAAATTTTACTGTTCAATTTTATGACAATAATTTCTTTTGCTTTAATTTGGTTAAAACAGTTTCTACAATATGTATGTTTGTACAGTATACTAAGTTGTAGAATCTCTATTTGTTATAATACATTCCTAGGGTTAATTAAAATGTACAAGGAAAATTATTCTTGGAATTCAGTTTCGAAAAGTTAAAATATGGCATAAGAAAACTTAGTGAGATTAAAAATGAGGATGGTGAACATTAATCTTTTTATCGATTTTTCAATTAAGCTTGTATGTTGTGATGAGTAATGGTTACAACTTATTGACTAGACGTATCGCATTTGCGTACTTCACGTCAAACAAGTTTCTGCTGTGCTATTCCTAAAATTTTACATTAGAAAGATCGTGGAATGCGCGTCGTCATTATGTTCAATTGTTTTGCATCGTATTGAGGCGACGTATCTTGATGAAAGTGTACACCGCCCGTCAATTGGTAACAATCGTACGCAATTTGCCGTGATCTTAACATATGTGGAGCGTTATCAACCTCAGGGTCAACGCGTCACCGGAACTTCTAAACAAATATTCGTTCTACATATCTCTTTTACATTTATTTAACTCAAAAGAGGTAAGAAAGAGGCATCCGAGGCGAATGACCGCATTTTAAAGGTCATTATTACAAGGTCAGGCAACTTTGCGTTATACGTGTTTATACGTGTGTACACTTTTTTTTCTGGTAACATTTGGAGCAAAATAAATTTAAATAAATACCATTTAAGGTTTTATATGTATGAAGCTAGACTAAGTAACATACATATAGATTGCATGAGAACCTGTGCTTTGTTCCAGAGGATGAGTTCGAGTGTGTGCTACAAATGCAACCGGACAGGGCATTTCGCCCGCGAGTGCACCCAGGGCGGCGTGCAGGCGCGCGACTCTGGCTTCAACCGCCAGCGTGAAAAGTGCTTCAAGTGCAACCGTGCTGGGCATTTTGCTCGTGACTGCAAGGAGGAAGCTGACCGTTGCTACAGGTTAACGACACTTACGCCTTTATTATTAATTGATTTGACTTTCACTATCGAATCGTATAACCAAAAGTTGTATTTCTTTTTTATTTCTTGAACTAATACATGACATGACTGAATTTATCTTCACTGTAAAAAGGAAGACTTGGAAACTACTGATTATGACAACGTGGCCGCTTATGGCTTCCTTGAATGTCTCTAGCGAGTAATACTAGACAGGTGGGGTGTCCAAGACTACATTTGTAAAGTTACTTCAATAGTTTAAGTATTAATAAATCACTTGGGACTGTAAGTTTATTGACCTTTGAGTTTAAATGCACGCGTTTCGTGTGTAATCGTGAAACCGGCTCATATCCACCTGCATCGGTTCGTTACGCGTGAGTGGGACTATTTAAGATCTCCTATCGCTAGATAACAAGTGCACGTCAACTTTGTATCTACCTCGAGCATTTATGAACAATAACTATTAAATTTACGATTCTATGACATAGGTCCTTATGTTTTTATTGGTCCACGTTCCACTGTTGGGCGTGGCCCAATACACTTACGGGTTGACTGATTTCACAAACCTTGAACATAATGAAGAAGTCGTAGGTATGTAGGTTCCGTCGCGTTGATTTTCGTCACGATGTTGACAGCATGTCATGACATGAATTGCTTATACTGTTAATAGTGTACCCTCAAACAGTCATGGGTGCTGCGGTAAAGTGGCATCGGCTGCTTGCAAAGTTTACACTATCTCTGAGATATTTTTTTTTGTATTCACTTTTACTATTTAATATTTATGTAGTTAGGTCTTGTGATCATTACCTTTAATTACATAAAAACTCGTTTGCAAGATTGAATTGGTTTATTTTATAAAATAGATTATGTTAAATAGATGAGAATCCAGAACCTTCATGCTGTAAACAGATATGTGATCTGTTTTCAGCATGCAGATTCTGGTTTACGAAGTAATCATTATTGGTACGTATTCCAAAACCTCTACCAATCTTCAGACATCCCACTATTATTGTTTATTACAAATAATTATACTCGTTTCAAAGTGTCAAAATCTTGTTAAAAAATTATAGAAATGTAATTTAAAAAAATGTAAAGCGTTATTTACTAATCAAAGATAAAGAGCCATTAAATAGCCATAAAACCAAGGTGAAAGTGTTTATTGTCTTATAATGGTCTAATGTCACGACAAAAATCATGGCCGTTGACCTTTACTACAACACATTAACAACTTTAGCAATGACATTGTTGATTTCTTTTTGAATGCCGTAACATATTCTTAGTAGAAAAAATGTACGTATGAGTAATGGCTATTGTATCTTCAGGTGTAACGGCACGGGACACATAGCGCGTGAGTGCGCACAAAGTCCGGATGAGCCGTCCTGCTACAACTGCAACAAGACCGGGCACATCGCTCGGAACTGCCCAGAGGGTGGGCGCGACAGCTCCAATCAAACGTGCTACAACTGCAACAAGTCCGGCCACATCTCACGCAACTGCCCCGACGGCACGAAGACTTGCTATGTGTGCGGCAAGCCCGGACACATCTCCCGCGACTGCGACGAGGAGCGGAACTAACACACGCCTCGTTGCGACTGCCTATATATAAAATAAACTATGTATATTATGATGCCACGCACGGACGATAAGCAAAGGACGCGATACGCGCGACACTAGAACGTAAGACCACACGACTGTATGAAATTAATGCAACGGAATTATAAATCAGATGCAGCAGCGGTACTCACGTGACTGAGGTGTATGATTTTTAAAATGTTGACTTGTATATAGGTCTCCCCGCCGCGCGAGTGCCAAGCTCGGCGCTCGTCGATAGGTTAATGTTTGTTCTTGCACGACGTGATCGAGTTATTGTGTTTTAAATCATTTAATAATCGTGATTGAACTATTGAGGAGGTAGCGTTACAGTTTTTAGCATTACAGAGTATATATTTAATATATTTTGTACAGATTTTTTTGACAAAAGATAAATTGGATGCTGGCGTATAATGAGTTTTCAATGTGAAGAGTGGAGGCCCCGGAGCGACCCGAACCCCTACTGGACTCTCTTGTTCGTCTTGTTGTTATACAGTAAATGTTGTTCTTACGCGGTCTTACTGCGATCCGACGAGTATCAGAATTACATCCCATCACTTCGCGTGATTTATTTTTATTGATCAATTCCTTTGTTTATGAGATCCTGCTAACTTGTGGAGAATTCAGTGGTTAATTAGAATTTCATCAATCAAAACATTTTTTATTTTGTTATCCCTGTCGATAAGTGCCTCTGTAATACACTGAAATGTATCATTATTATTCAAGATAACAGTGGGAGATGATTAAAAATAAAAATCTTGCCTTATTATTTTTACAAGTTTTCGTATTAACCTTAATTTATTTTCGTTTTTTTTTAAATACATAAATGCTCACCGCACAGACACACATACAAAATCTCCCAAGAAATTATTTTCGATTATTAAATTATTCTGTATGAATCCGACTGAACAAGAGGGCAAACCTTTCCTAATGTCATACCTAGTATACAACTTAATATTGCTACTACATAACTACACGTAATACCAGAAACAGGTTTGGTCGTTTACTTTAAGTAGGGCGAATTGGCAGCCTAAGATTGAAGAACCCGAGAATAGTTTGATAAAAAGAAAGCTGGTATAACTTGTTTGCCTAAATTTAACATATTTCGAAATCCGAACATTACGATTTAAGAACAATAATAACTTGTAAAAACCTATTAAAAAGAGCATTGTTTCGGATTTGATTAGCAAACTATTTGCCTGGCACCACCACTCTTGGATGCTATCTTCAAACTATTTCAAAAGCCGGCAACCCACTTGTGACTATCAGTTGTAGATGTTCAGGGAAGAAGGTATATAGTCACTTGCCATCACATGCTACTCTTTTGCCCTCTTTATAAGAAAAAAAATTGAAGTTTTACAATCGCAGGTGTATTTTTCAGATTGGGCTAAATTACATCGGTTATTTGGTATTCTGTGTATTTTTAACATACATCACCTGAAAATCTGTGTCCATGCCAGTGTGTAAGTTCGGTTGTACTGTCAACCAATACATGTAGCTTAGTACTAGTACACTGTTTAAGTCGATCCGGTACCTCTTGTGTACCTGCAGAAACAAGTATTAAATCAATAAAATACGGTAATCTTTCTGAGAAAAAAAAAACGATATGCTTTCGTCACAAATATTATTAAAAAAAACTACTAATTATATAGCAGAACTGAATAGAAAAAAAATCATTTATTATTGATATGAGGATAATCAGGAAGGACACTTAACGGGGAAATATAGTGAGCGGTAGTCCTTGCGCCAGAGTAAATTGAGGATTCTGGGTTCGATTACCAAATATAATTTTTCAATAAAAAAAAAGACGATGTCAAAGAAACTTTTTAGAATTATAATTCAAATATTTAATAGATACTTGTTTCTGCAAGTACACAAGAGGTTATGGGACCTAACCTAATCAAATCTACTTAAACAGTGTACTAAGCTAACAGTACCTACAGCCGCGGTTCTCATATCAGGTTGGCGGGTGTACCTACTTAATTTTTTTAAATTATAATAAGAGCGTAGGTACACAGATTTTCAGAAGTACGTAAAGATACCAAATAACTGCAATAAATGTACACCATCCTGATAAATACACCCGCGATCCTGCAACACGAATGATGTAATGGAACAAAGTACCTACCTAAAATACTTGTGATACTGAGCAGCCAAAAGCTGAATAAATTTTCTTATTCATTGGTGTAAGTATGGATACGTATAGATGAGTATCGAGAATGATATCGATGGGATCTGGGATCGATGACTGAACGAGTGTGCGTTACCCCAGCAAAATAATGTCGAAAATGGTCATTTAAACGTTATAGATAATTAGTTGCTCCCCTTCTGTAATTGTTAGGCACATTTTTAAATTTGTTTCACTTAAACTTTTTTAGTTATTTCAAAAAAACATTTCCTGCTGGGGTAACGTTTGAAACGTTACCGCAGCCAGACATTTTCTTTTTTAATTGTAATATTGAAATAAATTTTAGCTACATAATTAGTTATCCGGACTAGGTAAATGTTACAACTTATTTGGTATTTGTATTTTCTTCGGCTGCGAAGTTATTCGAGATCCTGCTGGAGTAACGTTTGTGGGTTTGCTGGATCTCTGAAACGGGTAAGCGGATTGTAACCATCTTTTGTACATAACTTCTTAAGGATTAGTTTTAATTTGTTCGGCAGTAAAATAACAAAAATAATGGACCGTTTAAAAATTATTTAGGTAAGTATGAAAACACTTCAATACGTCCTAACACTTTAAATAAGACCTCTAAAGACTTACTTCAAACGTTATTCTATTGCTTGTAACTACCTTCAAATGTATACGAATTTTCGTAAGTATACTGTAAGTGGCTAAAAAGTTGTGATGAAATATAGCTCTCCACGTTCACGATCACAATGTGTGCGGCCTTTTTTGGCCACCGATAAACCTGTGTGGGGATATATAAACTGAATGTTATGCCAGTAATTAGTTGTTTAGTTCAGCTGTCTACCTGTAGAATTTCAGCGTCGTACATATAACAGTTTACGAGATAATTAAATAAAAGTCATTAGAAGGTGCAAGTCCGTGGTAATCCGACCATGTTTAGGTGGTTACAAAAAAGCGATCACCCAGTACATGGCGCTGTCTTTTAAAATGTTTAGTGTAATACACCTTACGATTTCGGTACAGTTGCGTACAGTGTTAAATACATTCAATATTTATTCATTATTATTACCTATTATTTATTTTGTTTTTTCCCTAATTGATCTTAAGCACTAGTTTCTTTACTTAAAATTTATTTAGTCTTTTTTACCACCGGAGCTACAATCAACAGAAAATCTGCACTGGTCCGCTAAAATTATAAATATGTAGATACATGTATGAACGATTCACCTGACTGCAATAAAACGAAAATTTAAACCAATAAGAAATCGTTTCATTTCTTTGATTTTTTTTTTGTAAAGAAATAACACTAAAGTAATTGTATTTTATTTTGGGGTGATTAGTGCTTAGACTTGAATGCATCAAAATATTTTAAGCAACAAGTCATCTACAATTAGTTAAAATAGACCGAATAGTAGAAGAATACAGTTGTAAATTAGAATGCATCAACATTGCATCGCCCAACAGTCGTACCTCGTAAGAGTAGGTAATATTGTTCTGTGGTCTATACCTAGAACCGAGAATTATCTATACCTATGTACCTACCGCTAAGCGTTGAGCCCGTGACTGTTGATTTCTGTTAAAAACGAACAGTTGTTGAATGATATTTTGATATAATAACGGTAATTTAATTTATCGAGTGAAAGTGATACATTTTTATAGATAAAATTATTAGTCAGATAATATTTGTCAATCAAGAATCGCTGATAATACATCCTTCGCTAGAACGCGGGAACAATTTGCATCTAGTGCACTAAACTTGACCCTTAGGCAGATAATATAAGTGTTGTAAAGTACGTGTGCGCTTCCGCTTTCTATTTTTGCAAATATTTATCGTATTCTTGAGAGTTCTTCAATATGTGTGTATCTAATTACTAATAATAGGCATTAATGGTAATTCGATTCAATTTAAGTAATTGTCAATTCTTGTCTTAGGATATTAATTACTAATGCTAATATTAAAATTTCGTTCAGGGTGAACAAATTAAAAACGATCATAACTTTTAGGTAGGTATATCACTTATTACTAATTTTACATAAATAATTTATTTTATTATAATTTAACTATTTTATTTTCTCCAACATTATTACAGAAATAATGCAATACAGAGTTTGTTCGCGATATGCTAGCCTAAGTCGATTCACCACTTAAAAAAATCCCCATCTATTCACAAAATACCTATTTACAACGCATACGTTACACTCTTCAAAACTTATCATTTCATTTCATATTTCTTAAATTACCTATACCTACCCTAAAATTAAACTTCAATTAACAAATACTACGCAGGTACCAATTCTATGAACAACTATAAACAATTCACCTAAACATTACGAGAAAACAAAAGCATTCAAAACAATACCTAATCTCCCGGCTGATTACTAATTATGCAATAAACAATCCTAAATAAAAAATATTTAAAAAACATGTAGTTTTTTGTAACACTTATGTGCATATCCGTAGTAAACTTGCAAATAATATCCTACATATTTTAAAAGCCAGCACAATGTACTGGGTGATCGCTTTTTTGTAACCACCTAAACATGGTCGGGTTACCACGGTCTTGCACCTTCTAATGACTTTTATTTAATTATCTCGTAAATTATTATATGTACGACGCTGAAATTTTACAGGGAGACAACTGAACTAAACAACTAATTACTGGCATAACATTCAGTTTATATATCCACACACAGGTTTATCGGTGGCCAAAAAAGGCCGCACACATTGTGATCGTGAACGTGGAGAGCTACATTTCATCATAACTTTTTAGTCACTTACAGTATTCTTACGAAAATTCGTATACATTTGAAGGTAGTTACAAGCAATAGAATAACGTTTCAAGTAAGTCTT